AGAAAGGGAAAAGATTGTGTGTATGTGTATCATGTAAACTACACTATTAATCTCTCTTAGTTCATCAAAATGAACAATTTGTGGTTTCATTGATCACTTTTTTCTTGCTTATATCTTGTAATTTGAACAAATACTTCGAAAGACAACAATACTCAATATATTGACCAGTATTAATTTCCTATTGTTTTGTTTTGATATTGTTTAATTATTTATTCTGTTTGATATCCTTTAAAATGAAAAACAAAATCTTTTCAGCTCTGAAAAACAACAATATTGATAGTTTAACCAAAGAATGACTTTGAAAAGCTTATATCTGTTCTGGGATATATTAGGGGCTCACTAAGTGGTGGCTGCTCTTAATTTACTTTTGGGTAAAAATTTTACTTTTGAGAGGTTTTTGTTTCATATTTTTTTTTTTTTTCCGGACAGTCCTGGGACTGGAACTAGCCTCGTCTCACTAGGCTACATCTCCAGGCCCCTCTTTTAAAAAAATTATTTTTTGAGCAGATTTGTAGTTTTGTGCTACTTACAAGGCTTCTGTGACTCACACTGTTTCTAATCTGCCCTAGTGAGGGGCGATTTCCAAAAGAGAGCTGTTGATAGGTTTCCACCACTCCCTGCCACCCAGATGATTCTGTCACCTCAAAACTCCATTCAGTAAGCCAAACACAGAGATAATAGTTCTTCTTTGAATGCATTTGTTATTTTTTTTTTTTTACCTGTTTCTGACCGCACTCAGATTGACTCTAACTCTCCTTTCATATATATAGTTGGTGTTTTACTGGAAAAGATCTGAGAATTGGGAAATTAAGTTAAGTAGACTAGGATAAGAAAGTGGTGTTTGTCAATTAGGTTAAGTTTACATTGTTTGTATTGCCTGGTTCCGTGATTCCTTTTGTTCATTGGCACTGAGAAAATTGGTATGGAAGTTTCTCCCTCGTGTCCAAATCAAACAAAAACAAAAGAAAGCTCTTCACCTATGTTAGCGGCAAGAAATTTGAAGAAAGGGTCAACATAGCATTTGGGGTCACCATGGTTATGAATATGGTGATTTTCAAACAACTACGGACAGGATAAAATTCCTTGGAAAAGTAATTTAGGCTGTTTGCTCTACTGACTTTTACTGTATAAAAAATTTCCTCCTAAAGCTAAATCCCTGCATTTTTGTCCAAAAAGATGACAGTTTATTTACTATTTTATTGAGCTAATTACGAATGTTTGTTTAATAAACAGGCAGTTTTATAATACTGAGGTAAAATCTGATGTTATTTTATTACTGTTGGCAAAAAAACTCAGAGTATTTAATTAAAATCAATGATCGACAATGATGTTAAATATGATAGCTAACTTAACACCAAGTATTAACTATAGATTCAATGGTATATTAACCATAGATTAATTTGTTCCTTTTAACTCTCAAGCCAAACCTACAAATATCCTGCACTAAGCATAAGGAAACTGAGGATCAGAGGCCTTAGAAAGAGTAACTCAAAAACGTACTTAAGTTGATGGTAAGGTCCAGACTCATGCTAAGATCAGGCCTCAAAGTAAATTGAACATTAAGTGCTGATTTAAAGATACCTGCTTCTAATCATTCCAAAAAGACATGGTTCCATTCTACATGAGGAATAGTGGTATTGTTTACACACTTGTACCATCTATCTCTGTAATCCTGCTTGCCAAAACTGCACATATTGAAATGGTGTCCTAAGATAATTATATGTAAAGAATATGAATTGGAAATGGTCCAGTCCCATCACCACACTTTCTATTCTGTGGTTCTGCTAGAAGACAAAGGGATATTATAAAAATCCAAGAGACCAGAGAGAAGGTTTTGGAAAACATTGTGTAAGCCTATAAATAACTGATTTTAATATACTGAGTAAAACAAGAACATTTAAGAATTTAATGTAGGTAAAATTGGTTAGAAGTTAGCATTTGAAAAAGATCTTCAAATTTTGAAGTCTCATTTAAACAAACCACTTGTTTACATGTCTATGGTTTTGATTTATAAGTTGATTTCATTTGTAGGAATCCGGTTACATGTGTTAATGAATATGTTTAGAAGAAAGCAGAGTGCATCTCTAGGAAGTTTTTTTACCACAAGACACTGATAGAAACCATATGTTAGATAGCATCTGTCTGAATTTAAATCACACTGTTCCTAGAGGTACCAATGGAAGAAACTAAAGCAATAGGTTAATATTTTAGACAGTAGGATCTATTTTCATCACACAAAGTAATATGATTGGAAAGTGGTTCCGTTTATCACATCAATTTAGGCAGCTCAATTCAGTGTTCAGGGTTTCCAAAGCAGAGGTCGCTGGTGTGAGTTATATTGGGTGGGTTACCTAGATTGACAATAAACTTGGGTAGTTTCATAAAATCCTCTAAATAGTTTTTTAGCCCAAAAATGAAATAATTTTCATCATTCTCTTAAAATTTTAGTGTTTTTTCCGGATACTAAATCAATTTAGGTGGATTTCATTTTTTGCCCCAAATAACAGAGAGAAATCTAGTGTGCATCCTTCTGTCACACTGGGAGAATACGAAGCCACTGGTGGTGTGCATATCCCCACAGTGGTCACATCTTTAGAAGAGCGTGTATAACACAGCTCAGGTTTAAATCTTGTCTTTAAAGAGAGATTGTGCTACGAGTAGACGTTGGGAAAAGCAGAGAGCTCTGAGCAGAACACAAATGTAGATCATCCCAAAGAAAGGGAGGGTGATTAAGTGTACACAAAACAAATGAAAGCTTTTTTAAAAACTGCGGCTAGCATTTTATGTGAATATCTTTCAGTCTTATCAAATGACTATTACTAATATCAACGGTTATAATTAACGCTGTTTATATCATGTTCCTTAGGTTCTATCTATCAGCTTTTTCCTTCTCATTCATAGGTTGCTAATTTGCAAAGTCTATTTTCAGTGTTCATTTGCTTTAATTCCTATTTACTTCTAACAAATATTTCATATTTTCTCCCTAGGAAAACTTTTGAGTTTTTCCTCATAATCGGCAAACTAAAATATACACATGTTTATGAATAAACCTAGATATAAGGATATTCAGATGAAAAGAGAAACATAATTCATTTAAAGAAAACTTTATTTTTCCCATAATTAACAAATATAACTAAATCCTGCTGCAAAAAAGGGGCATCTTTACATGATAGGAAGTTCCTCCACAAATAAAACTCAGCACTCCGCAGACAGAGATTAAGCTCAAAGCACTGAAAACAAGGCTGCGTGAACCAATTTTACATGTTTGCATGTTTTATTATAGAAGAGTGATACATTATAGAAGCACACACGATGCATTTGAGGGAGTGTTAGTTACTAGACCTTTTCTCTTACGCATCAATTCTCTTTACTCTCTGAAGACAAACCAGTCATGTTAGTTCTATGTCATTTTATTGAGAACCGGGATGTTGTTATGATGTGTATCTCAGTGTTGCAGTTCCATTGATAATACCAAGAGTGATGCTAGTATTTTTTTGCAATTTAAAATTATTTTCTTTTCTATACAATATTCACTTTGTATATCAAGCTTTACCTCTGCCTACCTCTCAATATCACTACAGTCAAGGCCAAATAAATAACCCCAAATATGAAATGAGCGGTTATTTGTTGATTACATTTTGGAAGTCCTCAGCTCGTTTAGTTTATACTTGGTGCTACACAACTGTCTTTGTGCACTCAGTTATCGTTCTGAGAACCATCGCCTCCAGCAAGACTTTTGTATAAATCTTCACTAACAGCACACAATTTTGTGGAAAGCACATGTTGGAAATCCAAAATACTAATTTGGATTACGTTCATTTCCATGTTCTTTAAAATATTAGAGCTATGTATAAACTCATAGAACGATAGCTGATAGAAGTTTCTGAAGTAGTATAGCCTAAACTTTGTATTTTAAAATATAGGAAGCCTGGGTATCTTACTCTACCTCTAATATATTGGACATGGTGCTTCTTTCTTTCTTAAGAGGTATGGGGTAAAATTATGTAAAAGTTTCAAGGGAGTCTGGTTTGAGTTGTAGCAGATTATCTATGATGGCCATGTTAATAGCATAATTTAGTAAAATATACAGCATGAGATTTTAATGTTCTGTGATATCTTCCTATATACGTGCTTAGACCTAACATTAAACATTCAGGTTCAAGTGGATTCCATTCTATTATTTTAAAAGCCTTCAAGTGTATGCTTGATGAATAGGTAATGTGTGAGTTTCCCCTTGGGTAGTCAAATACAGTCTTAGAGTGCAGATGAATTCAGCCTAAAAGGTGGCATCGTATATCACTCTAACAATGTCTTTTTCCAGAAATCTGTGTTAAACTTATCTGTTTGCAGTGAACTCTTCTTGTACATTTATTTTAGACTGAAAGAACTTCAGTAGAAGTGGTATTATTTTTATGTCTTATGTACCACTGGGCCAATTAGAAAACATATCAGCAAAACTGAACCGTCCTGGCGGTTTGCTATGTCTATACTTTCGTCAGTTCGTCTACTCAGAATGCAGTGATATCTTTCTCATAATCATTTAGCTCCACAACAAGCACAGGACAAATTAAACAAAAGAGCTTATCTATGTGGCATAATGAAAACCACATTATCTGTAAGAGAAATTTACAGATAAATACACACTGTTCAAATACAGTTAACAGTATAATTTTAGATGATTCAACTTGACTAAATCCCAGTTTCTACTTTTGCAGAATAAATAAAAAGTACTAATCCTATTCCTATGCTAACAGAAGATGTTAGTGCAAAGATTTAAGACAGATTTTTAGTCCCAACGTAAAGTAACTCATTTATCTCTAGATTCTCAAGAATTACATGTTTTCCTTAATTAAGATTCATTAGGAAGGGATATGAGGAAGAAATAACTTCTACAGAATTAGAGCAGCTTCCATGAATTGATAATGCACCTTAGTTTTACGAGATTTAGTAAAAATGTGGAAACCTTTTATGATACCAACACACTGTTTCTTGTTTTGTAGGAGCCTAAGCTGCCAAAGGATTACGTTGCACAAAAATCTGTTTTTCTCTTTTGTTTGTAACTCCACTGTGACAATCATTCACTTTACTGCAGTGGCCAACAACCAGGCTTTGGTGGCCACAAATCCTGTAAGTAAAATGAGCTGGAGTCTTTTGTGTTCAAGGGTCAGTGGGCAAAGGCAGGTGGCTGCCAGAGTGAACCCCACTATGTGTCATGTGTGTAATTGGGTAGACGTGCTTGTCTGTTCTCAGGTCTAAAACACAGACAGGGTTATGGCTATACAACAGTCAGGACAGGCAAGTTTCTTAATTCTTCCTAAGATGTGAAAAGTGCATAACAAGAGGAAGAGTAGGTTTCTTTGTTCCTATTATTTACATGTGACACACGTCTCCACTTTACTATGACTAGAGAGGACTAACTGTTGGGCCACTGGACTCGTAGCTCTATAACACCTAGTTGATCCAATTTGAAAAGCCCATCAAAGCAACTCACTGTGACCAGGAGGAGATCATGATATGGAAATGCAGGCCTTAAACTATGTTTACAATACCAGGCTAACTAAAAAATCAGTGAAACAAAGAAATTAAGGCTTATGCACCTGCTAAGTCATGTTAAACTTCATTTACATAAAATTTTAAATAGACCTACCCACCCCTCATTGTTCCAGTGAACATTTAGAAATTATTTCTTTAGAAGCCAAACTTTAAAAATATAAGTTGAAATTTACTTTTAAGTTTGTGTACATTTTAGGCAAGCAATATGCATGTGCAACCTGTGTTTGCCTGGAAATACTTGTACTTACAACAAACATACTCAGTTTTAAAATATTGTTTTCATAATGTTTGCAGCATATAGAACACAGTTTTGGGGAGTACATGTGTGTATGTGTGCATGTAAAGTGTTTTTTTAAGAGATTAAATTATCAATTTATGGCAATCAGAGAAGGGAAGGAATTTTCACCCAATGGGTCAATAAACAACACTGTCATATGTGTTTTATGTGTGTTTTTAGGGTAATTTCCAAAGTTCTAAAATTCCCTCTATTGTTTGCACATGTGCATCCGGATTGTTTAATCTTGTAGGTTCCACTCTGGAGTCACCGGGCTAGGAAACACACTGGGGTATAATTAGCAGTACAAAAACTGGCTGACATCCTGTCAGAAGGCAGCGTGTTTCTCTGGAACAAGGAGATTCAGATTTGTCACAAGGCTGTAAAGCAAATGTTTCAAAATTTTGTGTGTTTTGCAAAAAATATGAACTTTAGTATAGTTATTTTTAGTAATTTCTTAGAAAAATGTATTGCTTATGTCACCAGTGTCCTGCACAGAAATCTATTTTTGAATCGTGCTCTAACTTCTTTTTGTCATGCTATTGCGTAGATTACATTTTAATGGAATCAAGAATTAAAATACCAGGGGCTGGGGTTTTAGCTTAGCAGCATAAGCACCTGCCTTGCAAGCAGGCGGTCATGAGTTCAATCCCAGGTACCGATAAAAATGAAAAAGACAAAAAACAAACAAACAAAGAATTAAAATACCGATTGCATCTGAAAATCTGAAAATATATACATAAAAATTTGAAGCACCAGTCTATCATTTCTTCATATATTGTTGAATGCATCATTTTTATCTTTGGGAGGATGTTAATACAATATTGTGTTTCACATAAAGTTGCATTACTTAAAAATAAAGGTGCATTACTTAAAAATTTTTCACATATATGTGTATACTGAAGAAATAGTCTTTATAAAGTCATTCAGGCAGGAGGATTGTGTATAGTGGTAGAAGTAGCCTTGGAATTACAAGATTTGTGCTAAGGGTATATTTTGATTGATTTATAAATACAAGGAAATCACTTTTTCTTTTTCAGTAGTTAGTTTTTACCCATAAAATGCATGGTTATTAGTAATACAAGCCTCACAGAATTATTTTAAGGATTAAATAAAACAATATAAGTAAGGTTTTAAGCTAGTTCCCATATAAATGCTATTAATATTCTGTGATAGCCCAATATGTACTTTTTAATGCTTTTCACTTATATTTTTCTATTTATTGAAAAAATAGTATTTCAAAAACAGTGATTTCCACTACAAATTTATTGAATGTTAGATTGGAAATTAGAGCAGATGGGAGTACTTTGCCATGTATTTCTGGACAAACTTTAAATTTATTCCTGTTCAGGGAGTAAACTCTTACTGCTTTGGATTTTCTGTCCACAGTATGTGAGCCTCCTTTTTCCTGAATCAGTAAGTGTAGAGAAAGTAGAGAGCTCAGAAAAAGAGGGAAAATGTTCTTTCTTCTTTACTATTCAGGAAACACTTGTACTTTATATTTGGCTAGGATGATATATGGTCCTGTTACTTTTTTATTTAATAAGCATTTGCAAATAATAGCACACAGTGTGCAAAACTTTCCAAGGCACCTGTAATTATTTGTTTTTAAAATCATTATGACTTTTCCCTAATGGAATGTAACAATCAAGGGATCTAAAATTAAAATAGATTTTAAAATATGCTCACATGACATGTTTATATTCATAGTTACATAATGACCAGCAGACTTTAGGAAAGCATACACTCAGTAAATGAGGAAGATTTCAAGTTTACAGAGCTTTCTGGGACAGCGACAGCAATAAGTCTTGGGAGTCTGTGGCTAAAAACACTAAGGGCACCACTAGATGAGTATAAAGCCTGGCATTTTACCTTCTGCATGATTAGTATACACATATTTGTGTAGAAAACAGAATATTCTGTGTTTTCCTGAAATTAGACTATCACTTTATATAGATTCCAAAACGAATGAAATTTGCACCCTTTCTCCCCAAAGGTGAGCTGTAAAGTGTCCCAGTTCATCCACCTTTACCTTCTGGGCTGTAACTACTTCTGGATGCTGTGTGAAGGCATTTACCTGCACACGCTCATCGTGGTGGCTGTGTTTGCTGAGAAGCAACACTTGATCTGGTATTATTTTCTTGGCTGGGGTAAGAGCCACTTTGCACTTCTGCTAATCCAAATGAACTAAAAAGCTTTTAGAGGATGCAAGCTATTTGGGGAATAAAAAATGTATTAGTTTTCCATTGTTTTTAAAGACTGCCAGATCTTTGGTGCTGCTTCTTGCTGTGAATTGAAATCTTTAAAGCAAAGCTTGGCTGTCTGTTTCATTGTTTACAGTAGTCACTGGCTGATTAGTAATACAATGTCCTTTTTTAATAATTTTATTTCAGTATTCCAGTGAATAGTTTATTGTGATTGACACTGTAATGATTAAAAGGATTAAGATGATGCAATAGAGGTCTTTTTGTATCACTCTGAATTTCCCTTTTTGCTATGCTAAAAGAGTATACCAGACTTACCTAGGTTTGAGGATCCATCTTAAAAACACTAGTGTTTGTATTAAAAGGCCAATTTGTAATTAGACTAGAGGTATCAGTAATTAAATAAAGGCAGGCAAAAGATCCACATAATATTACACAATATTATTTATAAAACAAACAGTGACACACTGCCATATTGAAGAAGTAACTGAAGTAAAGCAAAATATGAGATTCTATAAATTACTTATATAAGACTAGTCTCCAGAAACAAAACTGAAATATGACTTATCTATGTATCTATCATCCATTTATCATGTCTAAATCAAGATAGAAAAACACACACTCTTCATTTCATTTTTGAGAGATCTAATTGAAAAGTTCAAAACATACAACATTTCGGGTAAAATAATAATTTCTGGCTGGTGTTGTGGGGCATGCTAGTAATCCCAGCCTTCAGAGGCTGAGGCAGGAGGATTGCTGCAAGTTCAAAGCCAGTCTGGTCTACACAGTGAGCTCAAGGATAGTCTGAACTACAAAATGAAACACTCTCTCTCAAAAAAAAAAAAAAAAAAAAAAAAAAAAAACAAGTAATAATTTATTTCTCTCTTTTGCTTCAGAAAACGGGTATTAACCTGGTTGTCACTATAAAAACTCTCTACAAACTTAGTTAATTCCATTTCACAAAAGTGTATGAAAACTGAATTTCTTCTTGGGATTTAATCGTGAATTAATTCACTAAAACTCTGAGGAACACCAATTCAAAATGAGTTTCATTAAAACAAAATCTACAGGCATATTTTCATATAAGTGCAGAAATATAAATACCTGAGAGTTTATCATATGTATTGCCTGGCTGTACAGATAACATTTACTCAATAAATATATGGTGGCCAGTAATTGTTGTTCCTAAAATATCTCTGAGTTTCATATTTTATCCTGTATTTTAGAAGTGCTGTTGATAATAATATTACCTATTTCTCTTCCTTTTCTTTGACATTTGTAGGATTTCCATTGATTCCTGCCTGTATACATGCTATTGCCAGAAGCTTATATTACAATGACAAGTAAGATATCTCTCTTTATGATTTCTATTAGAACTTAGTAAAATGAAAACCTTTGACATAATATTTTTATTTTTCTCCTAGTTGCTGGATTAGTTTTGACACCCATCTCCTCTACATTATCCACGGTCCAATTTGTGCTGCTTTACTGGTATGTCATTCAAATTCTCTTTTTCTTAACCAGTGTGTCAATTTCCAGAATCATTCCTCTGTGATACCCTCCAGATTCCAGGGGTCAAATATAACGTACACAGAGCGCTTGGCTGCCTAGGGTTTGAGGAAGAGGCTGTTATTTGAGGTGTGGGCTGGAGGGGTAAGGGAACGAATTTGGGAAGGATGATCTAGCAATGAGAACCAAGAGTGGGAAGCTACTGTCACCCCTACTGTTGCACACACAGCACGGGGCAGTCCTAACGGAGTTGGACATGTTCTGGGAAATCACCCAAGGAGAGTCCTGGTGTCTGGCAGAGGACAACAGCTGCTGGCAGCCACAGCGCAGAAGAGGAGACACACCAAACTGCTCTCTCTTCTCATGCTCTGTTCTCTTGGTTCCTTCCATGGCCAAGTACAGCCAAGGTTAGAGGGCAGGAAAGCCCTAGCCATGAGTCCATCCTCAGATACCTTGAGGATCAGGGAGAGCTGAGCGCAGACTTAAGGAATCAGGGAGGTGAGGGAGAAAAACCAGCACATCTGCACAAGCGCGGTATTCCAATGAGGAAAAGAATTTCATTCCAAGATCATTGCTTAAATTATTTTATTCTAATAAGCATCACAATATGAATGCGTCAGTTGGACATCTTGAGGCTGATTTAGAGAAGCAGAAGTCTCTTTCAGTGCTTTTATTGTATTATTTCAGTGAGTGAATGGATTAATATAAATTAGCATGGTTCTCTCATACAACATCAGGGATTCTAAAGCAATTAAATGTTCCTAAGAGCGAAGCCTTAGTTACAGCTGATTTGGAAGTGCATTTAAAAGATAGAAGTGGTGTGTCTTTCAAATCATATTCAAAGCTACCTGATGGTAGCTTTCAGACTCATTGTTACATCTAGATTCTCATACTATTTTTCTAGACTTTTTAGCTTTGATTTAGCGTGTGGCTGTGCTAGACTACCACACAGGCTATCCTCATATATTCCATTACCAAGCCAGTCTCAAAAGTTTACGTACTTAAGAAGGTGACTTCTGCTAACTGCATGAGTTTAAATTCTGCTTCCATCTTTTACTTGCTATCTGATCTTAGTTAGGTAGAAAATTAAACAGTCACTCCATACTTCGAGTCTCCTGATTGCAAAATAGACAATGCAATAACAACTTTTACAATAGCAACAAACTGATGGAAAAATAAGTTTTCAAAAAACAATCCCAATCAACACACACACACACACACCAAGGAACAAATTTAATGATAAACTTAAAGATCTCCACAATGAAAAATATAAAACATTAATGAAATAAATCATAGCGAAGATACACAAAACTGGAAAAACATCCCTGTTCAAGGATTAGGATGATTAACATTGCTAAAATGCTCGTACTGCCCAAAGTGACCTATAGATTTAAGTCAGTACTCATGAACATACCAATGACCATCTCAGAGAACTAGAAAAATCAATCACAGAATTAGCAAAACAGCCCTGAGCACAGAGAACTGTATTGGAGACAACAGGATACCTGAGTTCAAAACATAAAGCTATAGAAATAAAACCTGAGTGCTACTGGCACAAAAACAGACACACATACCAAAGGAACAGAATAGATTCCAGCCAAGTTATTTTTTTATGATACCAGAGATTGAACTCAGGGCCTCGTGCTTGCCAGGCAGGCACTTGTGCCACTGAGCTAAGCCCGCCACCCCTGGCCTCAGCCAAGTTATCTTAACTGAGTTGCACAAGTGTACATTGGAGAAAGGACGGTTGCTTCAATCATTGGGCTTTGGTAAACCGGATAAACACATACAGCAGAATGAAACTAAGTCAAACTTCCCACCACACCTAAAAGTCAATTCAGAAAAGATCAAAGACATAAGTGTGAATACCAAAACTATGAGATGAAGCTCTCCAAGATATTGGAGAAGAAGAAACTCTCCAAGATATTGATACAGGCAGTGATTAAGATGTCCGAAGAAAAGGCAGCAAATATAACACAAGACAAATGGGACTGCGTAAAACTGAGAAGCCTCTGCACAGCAAAGACACAATAGTTATGAGAATGTGCAAAATGGTAAAAAAAAAAAAAATTGTGAACTATTCATATGGCAAAGGTTAATATCCAGATTATGTAAGGGATAAAGAAAACAGTGAAACATAAATCTAACTTAAAAATGAGAAAATAATGCAAGTGGACTTTTCTCAAAAGAAGATACATAATTAACCAATGAGTATACTACTGATAAAATATTAAATATCACTGAACCACAGCAACGCGAATCAAAACCATAATGAAACATTATCTCGTCCTGGTTAAAATACTTGTTATCAAAAAAAAGCTATAAAGGAATCAGATAAAAGGAAACTCATACACTGTTGGTGGGAGTGTATATTAATACTGTCATTATGGAAAATGATATGGATTTGTTTAACAAATTGAAAGTAGAATAATAACTTTATGATCGAGAAATTCCACTGTATTATAGCAAAAAGTTACCCTACAGCCATGCATGGGCTTTGCTTCTCCATATGATAGCCAAGATAGGGAATCAACCAAAGATATCCATTGAGAGATAAATAGATTTTAAAATGTGATACACACACACACACACACACACACTGGAATATTACTGAGCTGTAAAAATGATGTCATATTGTCATTTGTGGCGATTGCAGAAGGCATCTTGTTAAGCAAACTAAACAGGTATAGGAAAGCAAAATGCCTAGCACCTGCAAAATGTACAGCAGCAATTTCGGGAGCGAGGAAAAGAAGGTGTAATCAGGGCAAAATGTCATAACAGAGCACATCTGACCAGTAAGGAAGAAAATCAAGGGGCTGGGGTTTCAGTTCTGCTAGGGCACTTGTCCAGTTTGTCCCTGTGAGTCACTCCCTAGCACTGAAAGAAACAATTAAAATTCACTTCATTTGTGTAGAAGTGTTGCATTTTATTCATGGAAAACAACATTAAGAGTCCCTTACTCCACCAGTTTCAAGTGTTCAGCCCTTGTTTAAAGACCAGGGTCCCTCACTGACCATGCCAATCCCAAGGTCCTGGGAGGAATGTGGCAGTTATTCATAGGATCGTAGATGTCCCTTCCAATTTCTATCAATAAGATATTTTAATCAGATTTCTCTCCACCTACACTTCCGTCATCTGATTTCCCTCTTGGGGCCTGGTCCTGCTAACCATAGCACTTTCAGATCCTGTTAAGGGGAACCCCAGAGAGGATGCATCCAGGGTGTTCAGTGGGAGCTACCAGGTCGCCTCAGGGAACAGCTAAGCGCTGCTGACCATCTAAGGACCCCCTCCAGCCACTGCATTCCTTCGCCCTGCTTTCCTCTGTGGCCCCAGGGTAACATGGCAACATTGTCTAGTGCTTACCAGCTCGTGGATCGCATGGCTGTCAGGATAAACAATCTCTTCTCAACTATGTTTCATCTACAATTCAAATACCGTTCATCTGAAATTTAGAATTTTCCTATTTTCTGCTTAAAATATATGAAAGTATTTACAGAAAAGAGGAAGCATTTAAGGATTAGAGTTATGTGGAAAATATAGTGGTGAATGGTGTCCAATTCACTCCACCACAAGTATTAGAGAGTAGTTCACATGGATTAACTCCATCGCCAATGCTGATCTCCAGTGAACTGTCTTCACTGTGCTGGAGAATTACTCTGCATTTAAAAATTTTCATTTAGTAAGGATCTAAATTTCAACATTTATATTGCTTCATAATTTATCACTTTATATATTTGATTTTTAAATTGTTTTTTATTATCATTATTTTGTGGTGTTGGGGATTGAACCCAGTGCCTTTGCAGTGAGCTACAACTCTAGCCTTTCCTCTTCTACTTTTTTTATTTTGAGCTAGGTCCTCACTACTTGCAAAGTTGCCGGGTCGGGCTCAAGCTTCCGATTTTCCCACTTCAGCTGCATAAGAGTATATTATTATCTTCTCTAGTAGTGGTTACTATTTAATAAAACTTTTCAACAGTGATGAGGCTTAGGATGAGTAGAATTGTAGCTGACAAGTTGATTCATCATACTTCATTCTTAACATAGATTGAAATAGCTTTTTCTGCTTTTATCTTATTACATTTAGTGTCTGTGCATTTGTTCCTTCCCGTAAACAAGTTGTCATCAGGATTCTAGTATATTTTTGAAGCATATGCAACACAGAATTCTCTAAGAATAGTAGTGGAATATTTTATGCCCATTTATTTTCCTAACACATGCCTCAAATAAGCAAATAGATGTTTCCACTTGCTCATTTCTTCATTTTCCTGTTGTTTGTTGTTTTCTATGCCAAATAAAGTACAACCATTATAAAAAATGTTAGTGTACACCTATAAATTAGATATTGGTTCGTAGTGTAAAACTTTAAGAAAGGACAGATGCTATAAATCAGGGTGAGGATAAAGAAAAAAGGGCGGCAAGTAGCCTTGAGGCTTTTCTGTGGTTAATGTTGATAATCGTAGGACAGGCCTAAGGAATGAAGGGGCGGGTGCAGAGAAAATGGACAAAAATTAAAAGCAGTGACTTCAGTGATTGGGAGCAGAGAAGGTACCATTGAGAGAGACAGAGACAAACAGACAGACAGAGAAAGTGTTTCAGCAAGACTGTTTTGAATCACAATCTTGTCTGCCTTTCAAAGAATGTCATTTCCTGGGCAAAGCTGTTAAGACAAAATAAATAGGAAATGTATAATTAAGGAAAATAATTAATAGAAAGGTATATGGGATGTCAAGTTATTTTATTTCCAGGATAGTCAAGATTGAGTGTCTGTTGACTGAAATGCATAACTCGGTCTCTTCAGAAGGATAAAGATGACAGCATTATTTTGCAGTGCTGTGGTGGGACTGATGCTACAAAACATTGTCACACATATGGCTATGTAGTAAAGAAACACAGCAAAGATGAACAAAAAGTTGGAAATAGTTACTATGGCACAACGTATTTGTAGAATATACTGGATGGACATTGATATAAAACAACATTTATTAAAGCAATTCTGAGAGTTGAAAATTATTAAAACTTCTAGATTTTAGATGATGGAAAGATTCAAAAATACAGCATGAGACAGTGAGCTGATAAGAACTCTAAAGCATTTCACAGCTGAATGTACTTCACAATATTACTACCATAATTTTATTTTTCTAACAGTTACAATCCTTAGAACTGATGTAACGTGAACAAATCACAATTCCAGAAATCAAATTAATATCTTAAAGCAATATACCCTTTGGCAGTACATTTCTTGTACATTATATACATTCTAGGATTTATATAATTAGAGCTCCATCGTGCTTTTTAATACTAAGTGATTTTCACGTGCCATTTCATTTTCTTTTCAGGTGAATCTTTTCTTCCTATTAAATATCGTGCGTGTTCTCATCACTAAGTTAAAAGTCACGCACCAGGCAGAATCCCATCTCTACATGAAAGCTGTGAGAGCGACCCTTATCCTGGTGCCGCTGCTTGGCATTGAGTTCGTGCTCCTGCCCTGGCGGCCTGAAGGCAGAATTGCTGAGGAGGTGTATGACTACATCATGCACATTCTCATGCACTTCCAGGTACGATGCTCTTAGCATCAGGTAGCTGCCTTAACAAATTTACATTGAATTTTTTTTTGGGGGGGGGGGTTCTTTCTTGACTACTTGCACTGCAACATGGTTACAAATACATGTACCTTCTTCACTCAAATTCAGGTAATTTCATTTTCTTTTACAGGGTCTTTTGGTCTCTACGATTTTCTGCTTTTTTAATGGAGAGGTATGTTGGTTGACTTTATTTCTTTTATCACCCTATTTATTTAAAATGAGATAGAATTATAAATTCCCCACAAGTAACCATTTTAAATATCATCTCTGTCAAACATGAGGACATGGAATATTTTCCATAAGCATAAATTTCATTCTCAAAAGTCTCAGGGCATATTGACGGTTAAGGCTAGTAAAATCTCAGCCTTCCTTTTAAAATATTTCATCAAGGAGTTATTCATCTAGTCTTTTGACCTAGTATATCATTGGACATAGTATATCTAGACTTTATCCCAGATACCCTGCTAGGAAATTCTTAACTTCATACAACATACATTCTAATGAAAAATGGAGCTCATTTCTCCCTTACCCCTCTTTTTCTGGCTCCACAGTGTGGGTTTGAAAACAGTAGATGCAATAAGTTAAGACCAAGTAAATGCTCATTCAAGCAGGGAGGAGAGGCCATGGGTTAGGAAAATTAGGATAGAATGCTGTTCCTTACAACATAATGGTGTGCTTTGGGTAATTCTTGATTGTTACTCAAGACTTTCCTATTGGTAGCTTTCAGAAATTTTACAAACTAGTACTCAGGGCTGGGGATTTAGTTCAGTGGCATAAGCACCTGCCTTGCAAGGTGCTCGATCCCTGGTACTGATTAGAAAAAGCTAGTACTTTATTTTTGTGCATGCAGGTTTGTGGTAGATCAATGATTGAACGATATTGATGCAGCTGTTTACATATTTCTAATCTTCTTGACAAATTTTAGCCTGAAGAATTTTGGCAAAACCTATCAAAGTTTAAAAATCCAAACAACTGATACATAGACAGCTGATAACTGGAAAGGCAACCACAAAGCTCTATATGGGAAACACATGGAACGACGCATGACTTTTATGAGAATCATTCAGATAAAGCAAATCAGTATTTGAAGTGATGTACATGTCATGAAAAGCTATCAGATATCATTTTTATTTGCTCATGTAAAATTTTACTTTGTCTTGCCATATACTGATTTATTGCTTATATTAAAAATTAAAATATATTTTAATTTCAAAATCTAGGTATTTCTGTATTGTAATCCCAACTGTTGTGTACAGTCTTCCAAGTATTATAATTCCTTTTCTAGTCTTCTTCACAATCCAAAAAATTATATTTATAATCCCATTGAGACATTATTGGAATCCCAGCAAGTTAATTCTAACCTACCACCTCCAATGAAACCCACAGCAAGAGTAAAGACACCAAGACATGTTCCAAGTGAAGGACAGCCAAGGGGTCCTGAGTGCTGTCCCCACAGAATGTGCAGACAAAAGCCCTGACCCTAGGCGTCTCCGAGAATTTATTATCTTATGAAGAAGGGGGTGGCTTGAGGGTGAGTGACAGTGAGGATGGCGGCAATATGTAAGTAACTTGAGCTGGCTGGTCAGGAAGGAAGAAAAGCATTTCTGCAAGATGTAGAGATAAAGATATGCAGAAGAAACAATTTGCATAATTCAATTAAGGTAGCAACTGAATTGTTTTAGGAGGTTGTTGCTTCAGTTTCTGATATGTAAATTTTTGTGCCCTGGGGAGTCATAACCTCTTTATCTCCAGGCTCATACCCAATTGACATTCCTGGAGCTGACTGGCTCTTCCATCCCGCTGTGCTTATATATTTTAGAGAAAGCACAATGCAAGGAAACAGGAGGCTGTCTGATGGCTTTAGAGATTGCATACCAGTACCTGGCTAGACTTATTTGCAATGCCTAGAGCCAATTGAAGAGAGAAGGAAACACCTTAGCCAGCTCTGAACATATCAGTATAAGGAAATAAGTCTCCATATAATCAAAGTCCCAGCAATTGTTCTGCATTTAAGGGGAAATCACTGGAGCTGTCTACTACATTTATGTATAGTTGTGAAGGATCATCATAGCAAACTAGATTTCACACCTTTATGTGACCTTCCCATTATTATTCTATATCAAAGACAAGAAGGGCTGTTTTCCTGAAATGTACACAGAGACTATAATCAGAATAGAAAAGTCATTTATTTTCATAGTAATATTTCAAAAAGGCTTCGCCATGCAGTTCTATAAATGTACTACTGTACAGAGAGTCAAATAGTTCTCTATGCTGCCTGTGTATGCTGTAATAAATATAGATGACAGAGATGTGGATACCTGCCAAAGAATGGGCAAAAAATACAAAATGTACTCCTCTTTATCTCCAGAAACAAAATTTATTTTCATACATGTAATTTTTATTTTTTCAAATGCATTTTATTTCAAGGGGAGAAACAAAATGAAAAATAAAACTAAAACTAAATTTCAAAACACATCAATCAGAGGCAACAATAGTATATACACTGCACGTTGTCATCCCCAGATCTTTCACCCAGAGCACAACACATCGGCTTACAATTGTCTGAACAGTACCAGCACAAATCTGTTCTTCACTGAACTCAGGGAGATCAGTAGAATAACTATCTTAAATATTTTCACAAATCTCACAAGCTTTCCTGTTATCTAGTAAGCGTAAAGTCTGTTCCAATGGCTCCCTCATGAGATCCTTCATGTATCATAGATTCATTACTAGATTTGTCAAATAATTCGTTTCTTAAAAATATACACATGCAAATGGAAACAACCATCTCTGAATCAGCACCTCAAATTGGCCCTTTGATTTAGAAAGAGTGCCCAGGAAAAATCCAAACTAATGCCCAACACTCCTGTTACACTTTATCTGTGAACGCAAGAGACACAGAACCTTGATCTTGAGCCATGTCCTAAAATTGAGAAAATTTTGGCACCAGAAATTACAATAATAAAAATCTTTGAGCCAGGCAGTTGCCAAATCCTTCAGTTCTTCAAAAACATCTCTAAGATTTGTCTCTTTTCCGTCATCTCTGGAGATACGATCCCTGTTTGAGCATGAGTCATTTCTCGTCTTAAGAAATACTACAGTCCCTCCTGTTTGTCTCTCCGCCTTTGAGTTTTTCCCTCTCTTAGAACATGAAGAAACAGTGGCCAAGTTCACTTTGCATGGTTCCAACTATGTCATGTTCCTCCTAAAACCATTTGCCCAAGCGTGGGTTCTTCCTTTCCGCATTTAGTGGCTTGCCTTTAACCGAGTAGCTATAGCTTTTCACTTGTACTTTTTATTCAGGTTTTAGCTAACATTTTCCTGTTAGCATTTGCCACTACAGTGACAACTCTGGTTTCCTAAGTGCTGTGGCCACTTTGACTCTCCACTCGTCCCCTCAGGCTGATGTAAGTGCTGTTAGCCTAGCTCGGGACCCCAACTGTCAGAGTGGTAAATGCCAACAACGATAGGAGATCATCTGTATTAGTAAGAAAACATTATTGAAAATAACTGAATCCACATTCTGTCATGAGAACAAGGTAGAACTATTACATAAAGCTCTATGAAACTTGCATCTGATTATACTAACAAATGTAGACTTGGTTCCTTATTAAATGTTAATATGATCAATGCTATATTCTAAATATTTTAATTCACTGGTTACTTACTGTTTAAAAATAAAACAATGAAATACATATTTTAATAACTCTGGGACATGTTCCTTTCAGTGTTTTCATTTAAAATCTAGTGGCCTTTTCCATGTCCTCTGGAACAAGTGTGATCTTGTATTAGAGGAAGCAGATAAGAAATGAAACATCCTTATAAAGAATAACATAAATAAACAGCAGTCTTCAAGGCTGCTTGGTCTTTAATTAGGTTTATTTTAAATTTCAGAAAATGAAAACCCAAATGTCAGACACTGGCCTGCCATGTTTTTTTTCTGTTGATTTAGTTGTGAAGAAGAAATAGGGTAATGGCCTTAATCACAGATATTTCAAGAGCATACATCCAAATATTTCGAGCTATTTTGTCTTTTAAAGCTGAATCAAAGGTTTGCTTTTTAAGACTACAAGTCCAGCTAATATATTTCCTGTCAGCATTTATGCAGAATCTTTTACATAAAGCTATATTCTGTTTCTCTTTAATTGGAAGCTTTATAGATTCTGTATTCAATTAGTCAAGCTCTGTTATAAAGAGAAATTTGTTAAATATATTAAAAATTAGGTTACAATATAATTCCCATCACAAATATGCAGATAATTGGTTACTACTTTGTTTTAAAACTGTGAATATTTTACTTAACATTTGTAGACTAACCCCCTCCCATTTACAATTTCTTATGTTCTTAAACATAGTGCATACACAGACTTTATTTTTAAGTTACTTTAATTTCCATATTTTATTTGGAGGACTTTTAATTACAAGATCAAAGGGAAGAAAAGTATATTTGAAGATAAATACACATTTTCCTCAAATATTTTTACTTTCAATGTATGCTGATATGCTCATACATCCCAGCCCATTTCCTTCCTTTTTATAACTGTGTAATATAAATCAACTTTAAAGTCTTCAGTTGCTGAATTCACAATATTTAAAGCTAAGTCACAGCACTGCACTTATATCTATTTCAAATTGTTGAGAGAAGCTACAAAGAAATTTAAGTAACTGATTTTGAGTTCTACCAAAATAAATTGCTGATTCTATATTTGACTGTTCCTGTTTTCCTACATGCTAAAACATGAAGTAAGATAATAAAACTGTATTCATTTCAAGTGATCAAGTAGAGGAGACTTTATCACTAGGTGCTGCAGGCATCCTGAGAATCTAATTTGTTATAGAATGTATGCAGTTTGGAGAAGAAAATGAAAAGGAATTAGAAATCATTTTGAAAGATTTAGCAGTGAATTGTATACATGCAGACAATGAATACAAAGTTGAAGAATTCTATAAAAAGAGAAGAAAATTTTAAAAATGAGCACATATATTTAAAGAGCATAGATGACTAGAAATTAGCTTTTCGAGGCTGACATTCCCTTTGGGATAAAAATCAAAGGGTCAAACAGTGTAAGAAGCCGTGGAGAAGATGGTTAAAACAGTGCAGACCTAGAGCAGATGTAGATCAGGCCAGAGGGATGGGGCTAATACGTTTGCGACCTGGCAGCAGACTATTCCTGCTACCCTTTTGCTCATCAGACCTGCAAATGTACAGGCCATCAAGTTCCAGGTGTATTTGAATATTCTCCTTTGTGATTTCAAATGAGTAATATCGTTTGAGTGCTTTAAGCTTAATGAAAACCAAAGTCACTGAGTGTGACTCACTAGTACTGATCTCTAGTTCCAAAGAGAAAAATCTTTAAACCTCAGATTCATTCAAGGAGAGAAAGATCCAAACATACAGACTGTGAAGGACATTCTTAAACATTTTCCCCCAATATTCATCGCATTTGTAACTATTTATTCAACACCTGTCACTTCTCTAGGGAGTCAACTCTATGAAAACAAATACCTCACTCTTTCATTGGCTTGCAAATGGTAATTCAGTGACAGGTTGCTAGTGCCACTAAAGATAATCATGAAGATGATTTACAGTCCTGTATCTTTAACTTGCCTTATTTTGTACCTTTCCCATATTCTTTTATACAGCCACTACTTATCATCTCATTTTATTAATAAATATGTTCAGTTGAAACCAGATGTATGCACAGCCTTGTATATGGGAATCTGGATTAATTATGTTGGATGATGCATATGTGTGTATCCCTAAAGCTTCAAAGAGAACACGTGGGATGAAATACAAGTGAAGCCTTAAGTACAGAATAATCATGATGTATATCCTAATGTAAACATAATTTACTCATCTTAACTGTAATTAAGTATGAAGAGGAAGCAATATTACCCCATCACCCTTCAGCTTTGAGATGCAGCTTTCCTACAACATGCATTTTGTTAGGCATCAGGTGTAACATGTTCATTTCCACTCACAGACGGCTCTTGTTCTGTGCCTTTTTTAATGGACAGGTTCAAGCAATTCTGCGAAGGAACTGGAATCAATACAAAATCCAGTTTGGACACAGCTTTTCCCACTCCGACGCCCTCCGCAGTGCCTCGTACACGGTGTCCACCATCAGCGATGGCCCTGGCTTCAGTCATGACTGTGCCAGTGAACACCTCAATGGGAAAAGCATCCACGACACTGACAACATGGTCCTAAAACCAGAAAAGTTAAAAGATTTAGCTATATGAAAGTAGGGGGATCGTGGTCTATTGTGTGCCCCCCATGGACTCAAGGACTTAGACCCATGATTTCAGTCGGAAGACTTCAGTATTAAGTGCATTTCTTGAACGCCATAAAGACCTCAAATGAAAGGAGCATTATGTTTATTGTTCAACAACTAGCTGTGTGGGGGGGCTGGCTTATGTCTGACAGTAAGTACTCCAGTACAGCTTATTTCAGAGTGCCCACTTGACATCACTGGCTGTGGAATTGCGGGAAAAAAAGCACAATCCTCTTGTGATCTGGTGTATGCATCAGCTTTAGCACATACACTGCACAAATTAACCTATGAATACAACTATAGAGGTTCACACGCACACTGGGTATGACCCTACTTTTGTTGTGTAAGAAGACCTAGCTAAGTCTTATAGACGTGAAAGCAAATTTTGCTTTGAATTTGTGGTCTGTAAAACTCATTATCCAATTTTTAGTGGTGCAATTGAGTTTCATTTGCCCAGACAATACTCTACTCAAATGAATCAAGGAGTTAATTATTCTTGTTGGCTTACTCTCTTTTTTCTTAAAAAAAAAAAAAAAAAAAAAAAAAAAAAAAAGCGACCAAGAATTGAAATGAACTATATACTCACTTCCTGATATAGCACAGTTATATCCTGAGACAAATCCACTTATTCAACTTGGTGAACAGGATGTATGATATGCAATCCTATTTCTGTATGATTAGGTAGATATCTTGGTTGATGTTACAAAACACATTGTCCACTACTTTCCTGTCTTACTTACTACACAAGTGGGGGTGGGGAGGGTTGGGAAATCAGTTTCCCTGTACCTGTAAATAGAAGCTTTGCCCTACCATTTCTACTGTGTAAACAAATTAGCAATCATTTTACATGAAGGAAAACAATGAAGGATTTTTTTATTACCTTGGGAATTTGTAAAAAAACAAAAGATTTTTGTGAAAATTAGCTTGTAAATATTCTATTATTTTATTTTATAGCCTGAAATCAAATATATATACAACCAAGGTAATTTTTTAAAAATAAGATACATAATGAAACAAGTTATACATGTTAATATCTGATACTGTGTCTGGGCTGACTTTTTTTAAAAACATAGAGTCTGGAATTCTATATTTCATAAATATTTTAAGGACAACCAGATGCCAGCATCAGAAGTTTGAGAACTAAAAAAATAGAAACATCTATGATAAGATATAAAATATTTATTTTAAAAATGCAAAGCCATTATTTTATTGGCATAACAGCTTTGATGATTCATATCTTCATATCGGCTTGATGTATTTTTTTCTTTTAGTTTGAAGATGAACTCACATTCTATTCAGAAATTTAAAACCAACTACTGTAATAACTGTCAATCTTATGGGTTCTACTCCATTAAAATATTTTTTTAGTGACTTACTATATGATGATATGTAGTATTGAAAAGGTTACAAATAAAACATAGAGGAATATTCTCTATATAATATGCAATGCTTTAATAGTTTAATAGGCTGTGATATATAATAACGCAAATCAGAAAAGACTTGAATATCCATCAATTGCAAAGAATTGTGAGATATTTACAAAATAAATGCAATAAAAGTTAATCTTGCTAATGAATTAAATTGATCTTTAAACCGGAGTCAGTTTTTCTAATAATATTTTCCACTGATTTCTGAAAAACAATAATGATTTCAAATAGTGAAAGTCAATTTTGATAAAAGTCATGTTAGTGTATTTTGAAGTTGTCAAACAGCTGAAAATTGATTAAACTAATGGTTTAGTCACCAAAATTATTTCTTGAATGGTTAATCGATGGTGAGTTTGGAGGTCACTTGAAATTGTCAAGGAAATTGTTTAAGTTAGAATGAATACGTTAAGTGGTATGTTAAGTGTATTTACAACTTATAATTTATCTATACATGTAAAGGTATTAGTTTAACATTTTTGAAATTTATAAAAAACTGTCATGGAAAGAAACAAAACCTGTTTTCAGCTACCTAAATTATTCAAAAAATTTTATTTTAATAAGCCATACGTTAGTTATTTATTATTCAAGGGCCCAGATTCATATCCTTTGCAGACAGTGTTCATGTATTTCAGCATTTCCATAGTAGTAAAAAATGTCAAATTATCAGAGAGCATGTTAAAGTGATATTGTAATTTTAACTTGCTTTTCACTCTACTTTAAACAGATTAAGTGTGTTGCACTGTGGCAGTTTCCAGATGTGCCCACCAGTCTGTGATCTATTAGTATTAATTTTGTTCCCACATGCTTTTAAGAGTAATTATCTTTAAATGTCAGACTTCTCTACATTTGAAGTGCTCAGACCTATCACCCATAACCAAGTAAACCTTATACTTTTTAAACTTGAGCTTCTTTGGTATCCAAAACCTAATTTTGAGAATCTCTAGCTTTTCAGATGGAGATCAGCCATTTTTTGGCAAGTCCTTGTGAAAGTCCCATTTTTATTTTCTAAAAATTCTATTTTGCTGTTTTTTTCAAAAGTTACTTTGTAGTGTGTTTACTCATAAAATAACTCTTCTGGAATTTCGTGTTTGTTCACATGCAATCCAATGTACATAGACAATGGTAACTGTAGTGCTGTATTTATTGCTTAAATATTTTTAATGTGAAATTCTTTGACATTTTTCTTCATTTTTACCTGCTAAAAGAAACTATCTCTAAAACTATTGAAGCTATTCCAGTCAATTAAAACAACTCATGTTACACTTACTCAAATCATGCCTTTGTTTGATTTTATGAAAATATTAAAGCTAAAAGTTAAAGTTGATTTTTCCCTCATGTTTATTGGAGTGCTGAATAAGCCAATTAAGAAAATATTTCTTTTAGCATTCAGCTAACCCTTTTTAACGCCTATCAATATATGTCTATTACCTTCTCTGAAGTCTTCAATAAACCAAGAATTTAATTTAATTAAATTTTAAAAGTTATGAATTTGTTTTTCTAGCTAAATAATCAAACAAACTAGAATGTATACAAATCTCTTATGTCATAAAAGTTGTGCATAAGTAAGAAAACGATTAGGAATTTGTCTCCTTTTTTCCTTTATGTAATTTTATATTGAAAATCAGAAAGAGAAGTAAGAAACATATTGAACACAATTGGTTTTTTATGGTACTGGGAAGTGAACACAAGGCTTTCACTCTGAGCCTTCTCCCTCTCCCCATTTGCTTTTGGTTTGAGACAGGCTCTCTCTAAACTGCCTAAGCAAGGCTCCAACCTGGGATCCTGTCTCTGCATTTTGCTAGAACACCAGTATGTACCACTATATTTAGCTATTAAAGATGATTTTTAAAAGAAGGCAAATTCATGGCTTGCACAAATGAAAAATGAAATTGCATCTCATTTTGCAATTGCAAACTTTTGTTGAACTCATTAATGAGGGAACCAATAACACATTACCATCATTCAAAAGAAAAGTCAAAGAATTGTTATATTTCAGTATATAAAGATGCTGAAATAAATGAAATCAAAACCACACTGTCAGTTACAGTTTATTAAAGAATTTATATTTCTGTGATTAAGAAAAAATGTGCATAAGTATCAATCTTCTACAACTAACATTCATTAAATATCTCAATAGGAGTAACTTAGGAAAAGACAGTAGGAAGCAACAGAGATGGCATATATATACTAATATATATGTAGACATATATATCACAGTATATTACACACCACGTGCAAATATACCAGGTGGAAAACATCTGTCCATTTTAAAACTTCTGTCATGCTTTACAACCTCTTTTTATTCTGATTATAACAATTTTTGAAAACATTCTTGATTAAAAATCCTGCTAACCTCGTACGGATTTGCCTGATTATTTACCTATCTGTACAAGAGTGTCATTATGACTTATGCCTCTTTTGCTTTGTATTTAGAATCATAATGCATTCTGAGTAGCTCCATTGAGATACAATTCGTATGTCACACAATTCATTTAAAGTTTTTTTAGTCTACTACAACTGTATATTTTAGTGTATTCATAGGTATATGAAATTATCACTACAATTTCATTAGATTTTTATGATCTCAGGTAAAACGTTATTTAGCTATTCCTCTGGCATATGCTCCTACTCCAGCTTTAGGCACATCTAATCTAATTTCTGTCCCGTAGATCTCCTTATTCTGAATGGAACCACACCACATGTTATCTCCCGTGACTGATTTGTTTCACTTCCAGTTTTCAATGTCCACATATATTTTAGCATGTATCCATTATTTATTTTTTGGCCCTGAATATCATTTCATTGTATGAATATATCATACCTTATTTATTCACTTTTCTCTCAGTCTACACTGATATCATTTCTACCTTTCGGTTATTGTATAAAATGCTGTTGAAACCCAGGTTTTAGACATAAGTCCGCATTGCTCTTGAGTATATTTCTAAGAGACATTCTGGGTCATCTGGTTTAATCATTTGAGTAACTGCCAGATGGTTTTCCAAACAGCTGGGTCATTTTATGCTCCCAGTGTTTGAAGGTTCTGATTTTTCCACATGGTTCTCGAATTTTTTTTCACTAGGCTTCCCAATGTGTTGGGAATGATATCTTGTGGTTTTAACTTGCATTTCTCTAACAGTTGATATTTGGGAATATCTTACCATGTTTATTAAACATTTGCAGATAAACAGTTTGCAAATATTCTCTCATTCTTGGGTAGTTCTGTCATTGTCACAATTTTTATGAATTACAATCTGTTTTTTTCTTTTTGGGTACATAAAGCATATCTGAAAGTTCTCTGCCAAGGTCAAGGTCATGAGAGTACCTCTGTGATTTCTTTTCACAACATTTGTTGCTTTTGTATTTGCCTTTTTGATCTTCAGTCTGTTTTGAATTATTCACATCTGCTGTGATTAGCTTCTCTTACTTTCGATGTATGTCCACAATGCATAATGGTTGTTACATTCATTCCAAGGGATTGGTACACATGTAAGTCATATCTTCGTTTCTGATCCTTCCCAAGTGTCTTTTCTCCCTCTTCTTCTGGACTTCTTCTCCATCCCTAAAAATCCTCCTTTCCATTTCCCACTATCTTTTCTTTATTTTACCCTTTAATTAAATTATATTTTAGATTTCTTATATAAAATATAATCCACATGAGGGCCAGAGATTTAGCTCAGTGGTGTAAGTGCCAGCCTGGTAAGTGAGAAGTCATGAATTTGATTTCCGATACCAAAAACTTAAATAAATAAAACATAGATCACATGATACTTAACTTTGTGTCGGACTTATTCACTTAACATTGTGGCCTTATGATCCATTCATTTTCTTGCATGTGACATAATTAATCTTTTTCTTTATGACCCAGTGATATTCCATTGTGTAAATGCATCACATATTCTTTATGCCTTCATTTTTGGATGGGTACCTAGGCTTTCTGCAGAACTTGGCTATCATGAATTGTTCTAAGCACGATATGCATGCAGCACCTTAGCGTGATGTTTAAAAAACAAAACCAGGAAGATGCATCTGGATGAAATGGAATTTCTACTTTTAGAATTTAAAGGACTCCATTCTGTAGTGTCTGTACTAGTTTACATTTCTCCAACAGTGCAGAAGAGTTGCTTTTTCTCCACATCCTCTCAAGCATTTATTGTTTCAGATCGGCATTCTAAATAGAATCTTGGACTTACTTTGATTTCCAGTACTGTAATGCTTAAAGATAATGAACATCTTTTCCATGTACCTACTGACATTTTGCATTTCTTTTGAGAAGTATCTATTTAGTTTGTTTGCCCACATTTAAAATCTTGATGTTTGTGGGTGGTTAATTTTCTTGTGTTCTTTTATGTCTACATATTAGTCTTCTATCAGAAGACTTCATAGCAAAAGTTTTGTACCATTTGTAGGCTGTCTTTCACTCTATCAATTGTTTCCTTTTTCTCTGCAGAAGCTTCTTAATTTAATCTATTCTACTTTTTATTTGTACCATTTTAAAACATTTTATTAGTATACCCTTGTGACACATAGTATATGGATTCATTGTAGGAACTGATCTTTATGCATATCCTGTCTTGGTCCTTTTTGCTTCTGCTTCCCTCAATTTATTCCCATCTCTTCCCATATACACAGGCCCCTCCCAAATCCGTGATCTATTTAGTTTCATGTCATCTATTATTTTCTTTCTAAATTATTTATACTTTGGGTTTCTCATACAACAAAAACCATGGGATGCTTAACATACTGTGTAAAAAAAAAAAAGCTCCTAAAAAGCCCCATTGTTCCATTTATTACTAGATAATTACTTTAAAGTATAACACAAATTCAAAAAATAAATCTGAGAAATTATCAGTTGAAATATTACCTGGAATAAACACAGCAGATAAGAATGTAAGAATAGTCATGAAGATCATTTGAATCATCTGGACATTTACTTTTGAGTTGAGCACTATGCTGAAAGCAACATAATCACGATTTTGGAATACAGATTTTTAGAATATGGAAAAATTTAGTAAGCAGTGATAGTCGAATGTGTTTGTCTGCAGAACTGACCAAGGCATTATAGGCAATTAGACTTTACATTCAGCCAAGGAAAGCATGAATCTATTATGCCAAAATTGCTACACAGTATAATAAAAAGTGTAAGGATAGCATGAGTGTGAAGTATTCACATTTAGCTTAAAATTCTAAAACAAACAAAAGCACTTTACTTCAAGCTATACAGAGATAAAGTCAAAAAATATTATACATTCTACCCAGGAAGAACACAGGAAACCCAGTATGCTTTCAGACTATCAGTTCTGAAGTGCTACCTTTGGTGAAAAATCATTAAGTGTTGTATATATTACTAAAGGTGATACATCCACGTTATTAAACTAATGATATAATCTAAAACCAGATTATATTTTTAAACAAATTTCTGTCCACCCATTGACATGAGTAGATACCATTTGAAAAGTACTATACCAGGAGCAATATAGTTTAAAGTGAAATTCCTCCTTGGGCATTTTACAACCTAAGTAATATTTCACACTATGATCTGTTCGTGCTTACTTTCAAATTCACATTTCTGAACTTAGTCTTTTCGATTGTGCAACTTTGTTTTGGATCTATGAGAACAACAATTCAAACTACAAAGTAATTCTGCAACGTAACTCACAGACGTAGTTATTAAAAATGGACTGAATTAAACCTGGTATCACTGCTCCCAATTTCAAAATGAAATACTTTGGGTTCCAATTGGAGACTGTATCAAAGTCTCAGTTGACCCAGAGAGACAGCTCCTCCCTTGGATCAAAATTCCCATGCATGTCTCCAAAAGTGTTGTAAACATTCTACGACCTCGGCTCATAGCATACAGGGGACAGGGGAGGAAAACAGACAAACAGGGAGGCAGAAGGTCACCACTGTCTCACTGAGTCACACACAGAGCGTGGACTCGGGGACACTGCCCTGCCCAGCGTGGGGCCACTGATCAGCTGGCTGCTGAGAGTGGGTGAGAGTCCATGCTTCTGGCTACACAAGAGTGAGATACACCCAGCGAACAAGCAACTCATTTCAGCTTAAACACCAGGGATTTTGTTTTTTTTTTTTTTCTTTCTTTCCTTCTATTTTCCTTTTTTTTTTTCCAATGCGGTGAGATAATAAACAACCTTGCTTGAACCCAGCTAATATTGAAATAATCATTACCTCAGCGTATATAGAAACATCTCTCTCTCAGCAATAACACAAAACAAAAACACAAATGAAAAAAAGAGAAACCCTGTTTCACCTAGGTCTATACGTCAAGGATGCTTTTCCACACTGCAGTTTGTATGTCAGAGCATGATTATATGTTTACAGTGACTATTGGAAAGTGAGCTAAGCAGTCCAGGTATGATGCTGGCTGTCCTGGAATCCGCTTCAGGCCAGCATTTGCAGTACTAGCCCCCAGTCTCCGATAATAAAGAGCCTTTGTCTGCACTTTAGATGGCAACTGTGGTCTAATTGCAGCTTGACCTCTCTTGCTGTGATGAAGAGTCATGTGGCCAAGGAGTCAGATTCACCTAGAGCTTACACCTACACTTGTAATCACACCCTTAGCCACAGGGACACCAGAGTCCAACCCAAATGAACTGATTTCATATCCAGAACCTCACAAATACTTTTTAGCCCTATTCTGCTCATTGGTGATGAACCACACCTGCTCTGTACTTACCTTTAATTTTAAGAAGTGGCCATTGCAGACTTTTGTACCAAAAGATGAACAGAACTCACCTTTGCAAACTGAGGCATGTCTTCACCCACAAAGGGGAGCCATGCAAGTGCAAGGAGTAGCTAGGGGTAGGAATTAGGGGTTCGTCTGAGGACCTGAGGCCAACCACCACAGTCAGTTCATACACACAACTCTAAGAATGCTGAGCTTTCAGAGAATTCCAAATTTGAAACTAATTTTTGGCAAATAATTATTTATAAGGACTGAAGTACAAAAGTATTTGTTTTGTGACTCTGTTTCTATATTTGCAATATGTCAAATAGATGGCTTCTACTGGACCTGTGCATCAGGTCTCAAGGATATAAGGGAGGAGCTTCAGTATTTTTTCCAGATAAAAGTAGACTGGTTTGAGTAATAAAGACATTCATGTATTCATGTCAGTCCTTTACGTCCCCAGTAGAAATGCTCATATTAAATGGTTCAGTTCTTTTCCGTGTTGTCATAGATTCATTTGCTGCTATTACAATGCATGTATTTAAATTTTTATTTTCATTAGTCGCTGTTTACATTCCTTAATCATTACATTTATCTTGGGGAGTTAGTATGTGCACATAGTACGTCTGAATTCCTTTTTTCCACCACATTACCCTCCTTTTCTTTTTTCCTCA